TTCGTGGGTAAAAACCTCACTTCTTCGGTTGCAACCGAAGAAGTGAGGTTTTTACCCACGAAAGCTTATGCCCAAATAAATCTGTTAGTCTTTAAGGTGCCACCAGACTCCTTGTTGTTTTTCAAGAAGTCTGTGGCAGAGCTGAGACCTGATCTGACTGCAAGAGCTATGCTTTATCCATAAATGCAGCTATTCCTCCTATGAGATGATTGGATGGCCATTACTGACAACAGTCATATAAAATGTAGTCCATAGAAAATTTAAATGTTTCCATTTGAAATAGTCTGTGCTGAAAAGTGGGTTAACTGTGTATTCCTGTCCATAGGCTTTGGTGGTGTGTAAAAGCAACTGATTGCGTTTATTTCATTTTCACATAAATCAAACTAAGACTTTTATTTTGGTTTAAAAAATATTAACAGCTAGATTTTGCAATCCTTACTCATGAAATCTCCTGCTGCCATCATCATTGAATCAGTGCACTATGGAGTACCTGAGTAAGGACTGCAGGATTAGGCCCTAGCTGATTTATAAATTGTGTGTATTTTCTGGTGTACTGAAAATGCTTTATTTGCTTTCCTTCCTACTTCTAGAAAATGGGTATTCCAGCTAAACTGATCGTTTGTGGAATGACATCAAATGGCTTTACCATAGCAGACCCAGATGATAGAGGGATGTTGGATATATGTGGCTTTGACACAGGAGCTCTAGATGTCATTCGCAACTTCACTTTGGATTTGATTTAATCTGTGAGCACCTGTTATTCACAGTGGGTCCATTGCTGGCAAGAGGCTCTGCCCTCAGAACTCCCAGCCAAATGTACTATACTAAAATATGGCACATGATGCACATATCAGAATACCTTTTTGTAAAGAGAAAAGCAGATGAGTTATTACTTTTTTTGTTGCACATAGTTTAAAAATAACAATGGGAAAGCGTTCTAAATGTTGCTACACAGTTTGATTTAATTTCATTTATAATAGTTGAACAATACTAAGGTTTTCTGTCACTGTATAATGCCTTTGTCTTCAATAATAAATTGATGAGTTACTTCTGGTATTGGGAGTGGGGGCAGGAAAGGGAAATGGTGTTAATGTTTTTAAATAGTGTTAGTTTAACAGCAGTTTACTCACTTTTTTTTTTTAATCTTTGTATTTGAAAAGAATAAGATTCAACCATTTTCATTGTTCAGTTTCAAATCTATAAAAGAGAAATTATTTTCTGGAGTGCACTAGACCATGTAACTGTGATGGAGTGTAAAAGTTACTTGTCAAATTTTATACTGACAAAGTGAAAGTGGAAATATGTGACTAAATTGTGATAATCAGACTTTTTCTGAACAGATTACTATCTGGATCTTCTAAAATAAAATATGTAACTTTTTTGGTAAATTGAAAGGCAGTTTTTGTACATTGCAATTTCAGCAGCACTATTGTGGAATTTGTATGCTTTGTAAGAAATCTGTACAAACTCTTTTTAGCAAAAGAAAGGATCCCTGAAGTCCAATCCTCCAAAGTAATAGCTTGCTGAGGTTTCAAGTGCTTTTTTGATGAGGAAGATTAACACACTAATTCAGATGCATTTAACTCTTCAGTTTTGGTCATCATAATCAGAAACAAATTAGCTGTTAATTTCTGTATTATCTGCTCATTCTTTTGAAGAAATCTTATCCTAAAAAAGCAGAGCACTTCATGGCATTTAATCTGTTTAAAGATTAACTTTATTTTTCTGATTTTTAAAAAGAAATTAAATCCGTAATCTATTTTCAAAACTACGTCTACTTCATAGTGACATTCTTACAATGATCTTTCTGCATTATACAGCTGCCCTCTTAACAGTCAAAATGTTACTTGTTTAGCAATGTATTGGAAATGAGAGTTTTAATCTTCTGTATGACCATAAAGAAAGAAGAGGCCAAAAGGCATAGGGGAGAAAGTTATGTCTACAAATAACTTCTTGACTCTGTTTTAGAGCAGGGATTAATAGTAATGCGATTATATAATATCAAAATGTCACAGATTAAGAACACAAGTTTTATCTTTAAGGTTTTTTTAGTAATACTTTACATCTTTCCCTAAATTATATGCATGTTGCTGTCAGTGTCCTGCTTAGGGTGACCAGACAGCAAATGTGAAAAATCAGGATGGAGGTGGCAGTAATAGGAGCCTATATAAGAAAAAGACCCAAAAATCGGGACTGTCCCTATAAAATCAGGACATCTGGTCACCCTAGTCCTGCTAGCTGTGGTTATTTTAAAAGAGTAATTTGGTGTTTGTTTGAAAAAGACTGTAGTTATAAAATAAGCTAATTATAGTAAATAATACATCACACTTGTGTTGCTGTGCTGAAAATATGCTTTGAGATGTAAAGCAGGTGTTCACATTTGAACAATGGATAAACTCTTGATGTCTCATTATTCAATATGTTTAAAGTATAAAGAAAATAAGTTCAAAGTTAGTGTTTGTAGGATGGAGATTTTAGACTCTGACAATATTTAAAATATCAGATGGGTGACTGCATGCCCCAGGCTTACTGCCTCAGTTAGTCAGATTAATGTTCAAGGTGTCATACTACCCATGTATGCCCTACTTCGAGGATTAATCTGAACAGTGAAGAATCTCACTCTGTCATGAATTTTACACGGACAGCACTTGAGCTGTTTTTTAAAATTATGTTATTTGACGAACTGGTGGTAATGGAGTAGTGCCTTTCAGTCAAAGTGAATGGAACTTCTTGCAGCTAATCATTGGTAGTAGAATAAAGTTTTCAAAATGCGAGGTTACTAACAGTTTTTTCAGGTGACCACATCCAGAAGCAACTCCATTGCTTTCTTTGTAAAAGGAATTTCAAGAGGCAGCTCCCCCATCTTGTTTTTCTCCTTGTAACCTATCCTTTTGGAGTGAGAAATTCCCTGACATTTTCAAGCCTCCTGCAAAAGAGTTACAAAGAACGTGGGGAATATACTCGATGAAGACATTGTTAGTTATTTCAAATAAAGGCAGTGGTGGGATTTTTGTTTTAATATAGTAATTTTTTCTAAATCACACAATAGTTGAATATTTAATAAAAATGTTTACTGCTGAGCCAGAAATGTTAATGAAAATTGGGTAGGTGTTGTAAGTACAGTTTCTTATTGGGAAGTAATAAGAGTCTAGTGTTTTAGTATAAATATTACATGGATTGGAAAATTAAGAAGGTGTGTACTTAGAAAATGTGAAATGACCTTATGCAATTTTGCACAGACCTATGATAATTAAAAGGATTTGATTGGACTAATGACCGTACTGACAGATTAACAGTGGAGAATTACACTAATACTGAATCATTGAAATAAGCCCAGTTGAAAACCTAAATCCTTGAACTAGATAAGCAGAGTGAAGGTAAACATTCAGTACAGTCAATAGGACATTAAGTACATCTGTTAGAATTGTGTACCACTTCTAGTCATATCCTCTCCGTTATTGAAAAGATGGAGTATGGAATATGCTCCTAAGTACTTGCCTTACTCTCTACTGAAAGATACTAATAGGGTACAATTTTATATTCTGACTGGTTTTGTTTGTACTGATAGGACTATACTGTCCTCTATGTGGGACTATATTGTCCCCTATATGGGCTGCCTCCCCAAATGTTTCCATTAGTGGATGAGTAGGGTTTGTGCCTTCCTTCCATGGAAGTGGTAGAGAGAGGAGTCCTTTTTCCCCAATAGCAGATTGATTGAGATCTGCAAAGGCCTTACTTCTGGCGGGAGCCAGGAGGCAACGCAGAGGGGCTGCAGTCGCCTAAACCTCCCCTTGAAGATTTCCAGAGTACAGAGAGGGACAGCTGAAAGTTTAACACTGACAAGGTCGGTATTAGCATACATGCTAAAGTCCCACAAGTCTGGGTATGTCTACACTACGAGAGTAGTTCGATTGTACTTAAATCGAATATGTGGAATCGATATTACAAAGTCGAACGTGTGTATCCACACTAAGGACAGTAATTCGACTTTGTGAGTCCACACTACCTGGGCAAGCGTCAACATTGGAAGCGGTGCACTGTGGGCAGCTATCCCGCAGTCCCCGCTGCCCATTGAAATTCTGGGTCGAGCACCCAATGGAGAAAAAAATGTGTTGAGGGTGGTTTTGGGTAACTGTCATCCAACCGTCACTCCTGCTCTCCCTCCCTGAAAGCGCCGGCGGGCAATCAGTTCGCGCAAATTTCTGGTGAGTGACAGTGCGGACGCCACAGCACTGTGAGCATGGAGCCCGCTGCGACCATCGCTGCAGTTATGGCCGTTGTCAACACCTCGCACCTTATCATCCACCTTTTCCAGAGGCAGATGCTGAGAAATCGGGTGAGGAGGCTACGGCAGCGCGGTGAGGACATGAAGTCTGAGAGTGGCACAGACCTCTCGCAAAGCATGGGACCCCGCGCCGTGAACATCATGGTGGCAGTGGGTCATGTTGATGCTGTGGAACGGCGATTCTGGGCCCGGGAAACAAGCACGGACTGGTGGGACCGCATAGTGCTGCAGGTCTGGGATGAATCACAGTAGCTGCGAGACTTTCGTATGCGGAAGGGAACTTTCCTGGAACTTTGTGAGTTGCTGTCCCCTGCCCTGAAGTGCAAGGACACCCGGATGCGAGCGCCCTGACTGTCCAGAAGCGAGTGGCCATAGCCCTTTGGAAGCTTGCAACGCCAGACAGTCTGGTCAGTCGCGAAGCACTTTGGCGTCGGCAAATCTACCGTGGGGGTTGCTGGGATGCAAGTAGCCAACGCAATCATTGAGCTACTGCTGTCAAAGGTAGTGACCCTTGGAAACGTCCAGGTCACCATAGATGGCTTCGCCGCGATGGGATTCCCAAACTGCGGTGGGGCTATAGATGGAAATCACATCCCTATCCTGGGACCAGACCACCAGGCCAGCCAGTACATTAACCAAAAGGGCTACTTTTCAATGGTGGTGCAAGCACTGGACCATAGGGGACGTTTTACAAACATCAACGTAGGATGGCCGGGTACGGTTCATGACGCTCGTGTTTTCAGGAACTCTGGTCTGTTTAGACGGCTGCAGGAAGGTATTTACTTCCCGGACCAGAAAATAACTGTTGGGGATGTGGAGATGCCTATAGTGCTCCTCGGTGACCCAGCCTACCCGCTAATGCCCTGGCTCATGAAGCCCTATACAGGCGCCCTGGACACTGAAAAAGAACTCTTCAACTACTGTCTGAGCAAGTGCAGAATGGTGGTGGAGTGTGCTTTTGGACGTCTCAAGGGGAGATGGAGAAGCTTACTGACGCGCTTTGATCTCAGCGAAACCAATATCCCCATTGTTATTGCAGCTTGCTGTGTGCTCCACAATCTGTGAGAGAGCAAGGGGGAGACCTTTATGGCGGGGTGGGAGGTTGAGGCGAATAGCCTGGCTGTTGATTACGCCCAGCCAGACAGCCGTGCGATTAGAAGAGCCCAGTGGGAAGCGCTGTGCATCCGGGAGGCTTTGAAAGCTAGGTTCCTCAGTGAGCAGGGTAACCTGTGACTATTAAATTTGTTTAAAGAGAAGCTGAACCTGCCCCCGTTTCTTTACCCACTTACTGTTGACTATCCTCTCCAGCTACATACCCCGTCCCCCCCCTTACAACAGACGTTTAAAAATAAAATAAATGGAACTTAGTTAATGAACACCGTTTTCTTTATTACGGATTTCGCGGTAAAGTGTTGAAACTGGGACACAGACTGTGGTGGGGAGCGGGTGTAGTGATGGAAAGAACGCTTCTAAACTCGAGGAATGACAGGCTCCTGCTCCTAGAGTGGTCCGCAGTAGTGGACTGGTTGTTTCAACAGAGCCTGCCACCCCTCCTTTTCCGGACTCTGTGTGTGGGGGCTATGTGACTTGTGGCGGGGAGGACGGTTACAGATCCCCTGCTGCGTGGCTCTGTGATCCAGGATAAGGACCGCAGCATAAGATCTCTATCCGCCCTCCCCCGCCACAAAGTCACATGCTTCCCCTCCCCCGCCCCCCCAGAACATGAAAACCACCTCCCAGACTGACCAGGGTGCCTAGTGACTGCAATGTGTGTGTGACCTTCAGCTGAACCTGCCCTCGTGTCTGTACCCTGGTAAAGGTGACTCTCCTCTTCAATTACCAACCCCCCTTCAAACACACTCCCCTAAAAGAACATGATGGAAACAGTAATTAACAGAAACGTATCTTTTATTAGAAACTACACAGGGGATGAAACTGGGACGGGGGCTTGGGTGAGGCGAGAAGGAAAGGACTTATCAAATTTTTGGGAATGAGAGCCTTCTGGTACATGAGCAGTCTGCAGGGGTGGAGAGACAGTTTTCACGGCCCCTGCCACTCCTCCTTCTTGGGACTTTGGGTGAGGGGGGTATGGGCGGGGGAGGG